CAATGAAACAGTCAATCCATTAAAGAGAGAACATGGTAAGGAAGTAATAGGTGGTAGGGAGAAAGCAGAGCTACTTAATCCATTCTTTGCAAAAAGAGACTATAGCCCAACCTACCAAAAACCTAACTGTAAAAGACAGACTAGAAATAAAACTTAAAATAAGCAAGAAAATAGCAATAGCACTTAGACTTATATATTGCTTCACAGTGCTTTACAGCCCTCTCTAAGTGGTTTACAGAGTCAGCATATTGCCCTCAACAATCAGGGTCCTCATTTTACCGACCCCGGAAGGATGGAAGGCTGAGTCAACCTTGAACCTGGTGAGATTTGATCTGCCAAACTGCTGGCAGCCAATGATCAGCAGAAATAGTACTGCACTCTAACCACTGTGCCACTGCAGCTCAAATGGTAAGAGAAGACCTGTCTGACCTTGATGAATATAAATCACCAGGACTGGATGGATTACATCCCAGAGTTCTGAAGGAGCTGGCAGATCTTATCTCAGAACCATTATATCATATCTTTAAAAAAATCTTGGAGTACTGGGAAACTACCAGAGAATTGGAAAAGAGCTGATGTGGTTCCCATCTTCAAAAAAAAGTGGGGGAGGGAAAAGACCCAGGAAACTACAGACCAATCAGCCTAACATCAATATTGGAAGATACTGGAAAAAATAATCAAAAAACAGATATTCCAGCATCTAGAAATGAGTAAAGTAATAACTAGCAGTCAAGACAGGTTTGTTAAAAACAGATCATGCCAAATCAATCTTATTTCATTCTTCAACATAGTGACTAAATCAGTAGACCAGCGAAATACTGTGGACATAATAAACTTAGACTTCAGCAAGACATTTGACAAAGTAGACCATAATCTACTTTTTAGTAAATTAGAAAAATGTGAGATAGATAGTATCACCACCAGATGGATTTGTAACTGTGCAAACTATATTGAAGGAGTAGTCCTTACTGATAGTACATCTACATGGAGGGAAGTAAGCAGTGGGGTATCACAAGGTTCCATGTTAGGCCCAGTACTCTTCAATATCTTCATAAATGACTTAGATGAGGAAATAAAAGTGAAACTCATCAAAATTGCAGACAACACTAAGCTGGCAGGAATAGCCAATACCCCAGAAGACAAGCTCAGGATCCAAAAAGATCTTGACAGACTTGAACAATGGGCCCTATCAACAACATGAAATTTAATGTGGAGAAAAGCAAGGTTTTATACGTGGGTAGGAAAAACCAAAGATACAAGCAGTGGTGGGTTGCTCCCGGTTCACAACAATCGGTAGTAAAAATTTGTAGTAGTTCAGAGAACCAGTAATAACATTGGCTGGCCATGCCCCCAAACCGGTCCCTGGCCCGATCGCCGCTTGCTTACCCCACCCACCTCATCAGAGGCTTTTCTTTTTTTAAACTTTTAAAAGCATTTTTTCTACAATGTCTTCAGCCGAAAAAATGCTTTTAAAAGTAAAAAAAAAAAGCCTCTGATAATCGCACAGCTCAGCTGGGATCATCAGAGGCTTTTAAAAGCTTTTTTTCTACTCCTCAGCTGAAGAGGTTGTAGGAAAAAAAATGCCTTTAAAAGCCTCTGATGATCCCAGCTGAGTTGCCTGATCGTCAAAGGCTTTTTTATTTACTTTTAAAAGCATTTTTTTGGCCGAAGAAGTTGTAGAAAAAATGCTTTTAAAAGAAAAAAAAAGTTTGCCACGTCCAGCCAGCCACATTACCCCCGCACCAGGCCACGCCCACAAAATAAGCCATGCCCACAGAACCGGTAGTAAACATTTTTACTGGATAAAAGTACAAATTAGGCAAAACCTGGCTCAAAAACAGTAACTGTGAGATGTGTCAGCAGAGTGCAACAGCAGCCAAAAAAGCTAATACAATCCTTGGTTGTATAAACAGAGGCATAGAATCAAAATCACATGAACTATTAGTACTGCTTTATAAATCATTAGTAACGCCATACCTGGAATATTGCATTGAGTTTTGGTCATCACATTACAAAAAAGATATTGAGACTTAGTTGCAAAGAAGAGCAACTAAGGTGATTAAAGGCCTAGAGACTAAAACATATAAAAAAACATTACAGGATTTGGGTTTGGTTAATCTAGAGAAACAAAGGGCTGGGGGGCATGATTTGAGAAGCTGCTACAAAGAGGAGGGAGTCAATTTAGTTTCCAAAGCACCAGAGGACAGGACAAGAAACAAGGGATGGAAACTAATCAAGGAGAAAAGCAACCTGGAATTAAGGAGAAACAGTGAGGACAATTGACCAGTGGAACAACTTGCCTTCAGAAGTTGTGGGTGCTTCAATCACTGGAGGATTTTAAGAGACCGGACAGTCACTTAAATGGTATAGGGTCTCCTGTTTAAGCAGGGGGCTGGACTAGAAGACCTCCCTTCCAGCTCTATTTTGATTGAATTGGGCCCACAATACTTGCTGATGTCATCGCACCATCTTATTGGCCAAGGTATATGTTGTAGAAGAACATATAGTTCTTCTCCAGATATAATTTTCTTTCTTTCTTTGAGGAAACTAAATAAAAATACTGAACAATTGGTAAACTTCATCTGCCAATGGTAGTACTGACCATATTTAAGATATAATTCTTGTTATTTTTGATGATAGATTTATTTGTAAAATCTGAGGAGATAAAATTGTTTTAATCCCAAACTATTATTCTACAGAATAGTGATAAAAGGAATTCCCAAACCTATAATCCATTTATACATTAATTCTGTTTGTTCCTCTGAAAACAAAGAGGTAAATGTTTTTATAGACATTAGCAACTTTATCCATTACATTTACTGTGTAAGAATGTTTCCTCATGGCTGTGCTGCAACTGTCATGATAAAAAGTTTTGTCTTATCTCTTTTCTACTTATCTTGGAATCAAAAGAAACATAGATTGGGAAGAAACCACACTAATTAGTTCATAGACAAATGCACATTCACATGTAGCAAAGCAGGAAATCTCCCAATATGACCATAACACTGTCATAAGGAATTATTTGCATAACTGTACTTTAGGAAACATGGGAAAATTTGTGTAAGTATGTAAATACACACAGTATATGTTCTCCATATCTACTATCAATTGCCCTCGACACAGTATAGTATAAAGTGATGGTTTGCTGATTCAATCAAAACATAGCAATATTTAAAATAATATGTAGAGGATCCCTACATCTTTGTAAAAAATAATAATAATAAAGCAGCAAATTTACTTTGAAGGCCTCTGGAAATGTTGCTACAGATAATCTCAATTTACAACCACAATTGCAACAGGAACTTGCAACTTCCATTGCTAAGTGATGTGGTCATTAAATGAGTTCCCCCCCAATTTTATGATCTTTATGTTGCAGTTGTTTAGTGAGTCATGCTGTCATTAAGCAAATCCAACTCTCCCTATTTACTTTGCTTGTTGGAAGATCTCCAGGAAGGTTGCAAATGGTGATCATGTGATCAAAGTATAAGGCATTGCAACCATCATGTCAGTTGGTTGCCAAGCATTGAAATTTTAATCATGTGACCACAAAGATACTGCAACATTCATGTAAGGACTGTTTGTAAGTACTTTTTTTCAGTGCCATTATAATTTTGAATAGTCATTAAACAAATACTTTAAGTCAAAAACTAAGGACTCTCTGTACAGATAAGACAGGCCTCCCTAGACAGAAACTTCAGAGTCTAGATGCAGCCAATACAAAGGCACATTCCTCAGTCTGAACAGGATCAATATCAAGCAGATTGAGGACATGTAAGAAGACCACCCAGATTTTGGGAGATTTCTAAGTGAAAAAGTGGTTTTATTTTGACTCTAAGCCATTCTGGCTTTTTACCTGGAAAACAAACTGGAAGCCATACAAGTTATTTCAATAAAGGAATGACATGCAACTCTCTTTATGAGCATCTGGTAATAAATGGGCTTCAGTCATCTGGACAACAGTAGTTTCCAAACAAACTTATGCCTGTCAGTCTTGTCCTGTCTGATTTTGCCATTTTCCCCTCAATAACAGGATTGATCTCAAATTAGAAGGGGTTTTGCTCTGATTTATGTTACCAGCTAAACAACAAATAATTGAAGCTTAGACTTCTGCATAACTAAATTCAGAGTTGTTAATCTTAAATACATATACATACATGCTGTATAGATACTGCATACACATATATGTATACTTTGAATTTATGCACTGGAGACAACACATATACACTCACATCAAATTAAGTAGAGGTATGTGTATATGTGTATAGTAGCTGAACACTTAGCTATCTTTTTAAAAAATATGGATACACTGTCTTATTTTGGACACAAATAGAGGAAGAAATACATAACATGGATTTAGATAAATAGCCTCTATTTTTTTTTACCTTAGGGTACTTATAATTAAAATTAATCATTAGTAGTTTTCCCCATCTCTTTTTTCTCTCTCTTTTATCCTCCTCTAATGCAATCTTTTTACTGTTCTCTCCCTATTCCATCTATCCTTTTTCTTTTATGTGACTTCTTTTTTAAAAATGTAAACAATAGAAAAAGCATCAATGAGTGAAGCCAACCGTGAGTTTCAATCCATTAACTGGAGACCAAAAACTTATATGACTTGGCATTACAGATAAGTATTCCAGGTACTCTCTCTATTTAAATTAAAGATGTTAAATTTTTAAAGCGTAAACCAAGTTAGCTCTAGAAAAATTTGTATGCCTTCCAATCCTCTCCCCCTCTAATCCATGCTTTTATACATTTAGTTCTTCATTATCACATCATTTTGGGAAAACTGAACAGATTTTTTTTAAAAAATTAGAGTGTTGCCTGATATTTTCTTTAAATATCAACTTTTGAACTTTTTTTTAAAAAATTCAGACAGAAAAGAAACATGAAAAAGAGGCTGTCAAAAATGAGAGTACAGACTTAAACATCTTTCTCCCAAGTATAAGTGAAACATCTTATGCATGACAGAGCAGAATCACTCCATGTATCAACAACCTTACCCAAAACTCTTTCATTTCTAGAATTTGGCAATCCTCCTGTGCTAGTTGAAAGATCTTCTGGTACAGGCATGGGCTCATCAGTGTCATCTGGAGCATCGCTTACTGGAGGACTTTCTTTCCCTGATAATAAAAGAGCAAGCCCATTAAGTTAGGAAAGTTCTCTGTTTATTTTTTTCCAAATAAGATACAGATAATTTTGATAGTGATTCCAAGACCATAAAAAAACAAGGCGAATCATGATGTTGGCTTTTGATTAGCAAGAATTTTAAAACTAAAGGCAGATTTTGAATTGAACAAAGCCAAAAGATTAGAAAGTATATTTGCTGGTCTCTCTTTTTGTATCAAGTCACAATGCAAATAAATTTATTATTCTTTTCAATTCTTTTAACACACTGAATTGAAGCTAGGCTATTTTCAATTAAATCCTATTGAAATCAACAAAAGTTATAGTAATGATTACCTTTTCATATTGATTTGTATGGCCCTAAGAGCAACGAAGTTAATATATCAGACAGATGAATAAGGAGAAACAGATTATGGAGAATTTGGAATATCTTTTTGAATCGATTTCTATTTTGACTCCACATTGTTTCATATATTAATTCTCTATTTATTGAAAGGAAATGTTAAAAAGGACAGATAAGGGAAGTGCACATTCTTTTCCACATCGATATTCCTACCTTTTTTGCACATAAATGGTTGAAGTATATTTTTGGGAGAATACATGTATAACATGCACTTTTCAACCACTTATACTGTGGCAATTACAAGGCGTTAGCCTCCTTCTTGTGCAAATAGCTTTAACATTAAAGCAAACACTAGTTTGCTGCTGGTTATTCCTAAATTCTGCTTTAAAACTAAATAGAATTTAGTTTTTCTAATCTGGGTATTCCTCAGCAAAACCTTCCTTTGAAATATATAACCAAGTAAATAAATACGTTTTATTTAATATGCTACATATTGGCTCTTCTCCTGAGCACCAAAGAGTTTTTGGTGTTCATATTTCATGCCTTAACATCGTTTACATTGTTATGCCCCCCAGATAAGTCAGAGTTGTGTGGTAATTTCAATAGATATGTAATCACACTAACATTTTCTAGCAGATGACTTTCAAAGTGGAAAGATGGGGGAGATAGTCATTCTTCATTTAATTTTTAAGAAGCATGTTCAGAATAATAACTGGAACTGGCTGTGCAATTGCAAACAAAGAAGTAAGCACTGGGACCAAATATTTAAATGGTATCTAGATATCTGAGTCCCAAACATGTTTCTTTGCTGCTTCATAGAAACCAGTCCCAAATACATGTTTCAAGTCTGCTCCATGCATTTCATTCATTCTGTTTAGTTAGAGAAATTTTCTTATACAAAACTGTGAGGCTAGTTTTCTAGCAGTGCCACACCTGCTATTGCCATGCCATCTCAGCTTGGCACATCATATTCAAGTCACATCAAACAATTCTTTTAGCCAAATAAAGTCCCAGAAGGCTGGTCTGACGAGTCTGCTTTTTGTTATCTGACTCACAATACTTCAATTAATGATACTAGATCTTGGCTGTAAATAACCATTTGATTCCTAAACGACAGGAAAAAAATTAACATTTCTTGCTAATAGTAACAAGAAACCTTGATTTCACTCTGTAAGAAAAGATAGATCACAAAATAACAGAGACGGGTGATATGATAATTTTGGGGGAATGGCAGACAAGCTTTTCCTTACATACATTTAGTGGCCTGCAGAATTTTTGCAGCCTAAGTATGATAGTCCTATTCTAGTATCCTTAGCAGTGGTGGGTTGCTACAGGTTCTTCCCAGATCGGGCGAACAAGTAGCTGTGGCGGTGGGGGGCTCTGCCCACCTGCCCGGATGTCTCTGCACATGCGCAGAAGTATTGTGCGCACGTGCACCCACGAGCAAACCGGTAGCGAATGAAATTGAAACCCACTACTGATTCTTAGCCTTCATTTTTCAAAAGAGGCTATAGAACAGAGTTGTCTAAACAAGTTGTAATGTGTTTATGAAAGAGATCCCATTATAATATACTATAGCTAGGTATTTATTTTTCACCAGTTAGAACAAAAGCAAAAATTAAGCATACAGAAAGAAATCATATGAGAAATATTTGCTACATAAATCAGATAATAACAGTATACAGGGAGCCCTCCACAATTGGGATGAGAATTTCCATCATTAACCAATATCGTAATAAAGCAAGAAATCATATGACCACATCCCTTAACAATGACAATCCTGGCAGGGCCAGCAAACATGGTTCATTAAGAAAGAACTCATCTATCTCAATCCAAACCATTCTGAACTTGCTCACTCCCAGCCCCAAGCCTCAATAAGGTACCAGATTGACTTAAACTCACCTCAACTCTCACTCATCTCTGCCTTTTTGGCTGCCCTGCATCCTGCCTAGTGGGATGGCAAGCAGCTCCAGAACTGTGTGGCTCTGGTGTTGCTTACCACACTCAGGAAAGCCAGCGCCGCCTCAGCCCAGTTCCAGCTACAATAACCCTTGCCATCTGCAGTCTGAAACCCCTACTGCCCTGCGTTCCACTGCCAGTACAACAGCAGTGTAGCACATTGTGTAGCACAATGGGAAAAATTCCATTGTGTTACACTCCTGAGAATTGCTTTTTTTCATAGAGTGAAACCTAGGCCCAGCCAGTACAACAGCCAGGCCAGGTACTGCCACAGCTGTACCTGGCCTGGTTGTTGTACTGGGTGGGCCTAGATTTCACTCTATGAAAAAAAGCAATTCTTGCTTATGTTAGATTATGTTTGTTAAATGCAATACCCTGTATTTTGCTCTGGGAAGTCAGGGAGGGGGGAGGGAGAGGGGAAGGGGTGGGGGAAGGGGTGGGGAATTTGTTTGTAAAATATTTTAAAACTTTTCAATAAAAAAGAAAAAAAACAATTCTCAGAAGTGTAGCACAGTGGAATTTTTTGGCATGCCACAACTCTGGAACAAAGCCCAACCACCACCAGCCCAGCCCAGCAGCCACGCTAGGAACATCTCATCATCAGTGGGAGTAAGAAGACAGTTAAGGTCACCTGGGACAGTGGAGCACAGAAAGGAAGGGGGAGGAAATGCATAGATGGGGGAGAGATAGATAGATGGGGGACTTGAAGCACCTTTGTGATCCTAAGTGCAGGCAGGGTGCCAAGTGCCAAATTTTAAACCTTTGACCATCAGGACTCTTCAGTGCATAATTTCAGGTACAGATCATAAGTTCAGCATAACTGAAACTTTGATTGAGGAATGGGTCAACTTATTTTTCAAAGCACCAGATAAGGTTAAGAAACAATGGATGGAAACTAATCAAATAGAGGAGCAACCTGGAATTAAGGAGAAACTTCCTAACAGTGAGGATAATTAACCAGTGGAACATCTTGCCTTCAGACATTGTGGGTATTCAATCACTGGAGGCTTTTAAGTAGAGACTGGACAGTTACTTATTTGAAATGATATGGGAGTCCAACCCCCTACTCTTGCTTGAGTAGGGGGTTGGACTAGAAGACCTCCAAGGTCTCTTTCAGCTCTATTCGAATTGAATTGAATGGTTGCTTACTGAATGGTTATAAATCGAGGACACCCTTTAATCTCTGGGCCTCCCACACTGGTATGACCTATTGTTGAATTTTCACTGTCATTACATTTTCAATTGAGTAGGGAAATAGCTCATTTCAAAACAGACTGCTTTCTGGAATGGAATAGAAGTGTGAATGGGAAGCTTATCATGTAGGAAGCTCATTTCAAATCCATCTATGGCTGTATATCTGCTATTTTAAATATAAATTTACAGCTATTTTAAGGCATGGAACCATTCTGCCTTTTCCTTTTGTCAGCCAATATGCTGTTGATCCTTCTCCTACTTACACAGGCAAAGGGAGCAGAAGGATTTCCCTGTTGTTCAGTCCCATGTTGTTAGGAAGTTTCTATCTGTTAGGCATTACCTGTTGAATGGCTCATATGTATTACAATTATTCCTACTTCATAAAGGAAGGACGGATAATATTGTTGACTCAGAGGGAACTAAGAGGATCTGAATCAGTTGTTCAGGGACTATATTTATGACCATGTCTATCTGGACACTTGCATACACAATGCCCCTTCCTATAGGCATATATACATATCTTAATCTACACATATATACAGGAACATGACAGCTTAACCTCTTTTAGGTGTAGAAAGAAATGCTATAAATAAAATATAATAATGCTTATCTGTTATTCCAAATCAAGAAGGCAAACTATGGTTCTTCAAGTATCTTTATAATTTTGGCCTATCTTTTCCTAAACAGTGAAATCACAGTGTTTTGTTGCCATTAGCAGCAATAAATTAGGTTCAGGTGATAAAGAAGGGGAAATTATTAATTTATTATTTAGTTATTAAATATGGATTCTTACTCAAGACCTATTAAGGAGTGCACATGATGATAAGCATATTGCTAAGATATGCACATTTCCAAGGAGACACATCCATTAAATGTGATGAATATACACACTGAGTTATTATATATTTTATCTGTTAACATGTATTAACATGGCACTTAACATGTATTCATCTTAATTGTATGATCTGTAAATCATCTAACATTGTAGATGCTCCTGGTTTCTAATATTTTTGAGAAGCATTTTTTCTGATACTATGTATTATTTTATATATATCAACATTATCTTACTTCACTCATTTTTTAAGCTAAAACCAGCAATTTTGTAATTTTAATTGATAATATTTCTTCCAACTCTTTGATAATTGCATATTCTTCAGTGCTAGATTACAGAATGTTCTTTTGAGGTGAGATTACAAGTTTTCACAAGTCATGACTTTTATATGCTTGTGAGACATCAGGATCATCACACCCATTTACATTGTCACTTTGATGAAATCACAGTTTGCTAGAGATGCCACTTGTAATGAAAATGACTGACAGGAATACAATAATGGCAGATTCATTTTTGATTTCTTGCCTAATGACATCTGGATGTTCTACTTTTCTGCTGTTTCCCAAGTTATTTACTATATATATAAAAATGTGTGTGTGTGTGTATGTATATACCATACACACACACACACACACACAAACACACATATGAACACAGTGCTCATTCTC